GCATTATGCACTTTCAAGGGATGTTTTGTTTACTATGTCTTTCATTTTATTGGAGGTCATAAGACAAAATAATGACAAATTTTATTGACATTAAAGCACATCCACAAAAAATGTTATTATTTCTGAGGGTTGATAAAACTTAAAACCTACATTTAATTTCTGTATGGGAAAGCTTTAGTTCTCTAATCACATGTTTTCATTTGTCAGGAATTTAATTTTTTTATGCATAAAAGTTTATTATATCAAATATCTATAGAGTCTTGTGGAAAGTCAAGGGAATAAATAAATGAGCAGTATTTTTATCCTATAGAGAGATGTGAAATGAAATATCCCCTGGTTTGAAGAGTCATGAGGGTACTTTTTTCTAGTTGTCTTTTTTAAATGATATGCAATTTGCATGCACCTTTAAATCGAGCGTGAAATATGCAGTGCTCTACGCTCTTCAAAATAGTAGAAGGTAATGGGATTTAACTGTAAGAGCTGAGTAAATTGAATTGTGTATTTATTGTTTGTCTTATGTTCTTTTTAATTATTTCAAAGTCATATAAAAGTGCTCTGTCTTAGTGTAGTTAATGAAAGTGGTACTTTTATTTATTAATAAGTTAAGAAGATATGAAGGTTTGCTTACAAACTTCTTGTATTGGAGATTTGAAAAATTACCTTGTTGTTCAAGATCAGCTTGGCTTGGGTAAAATATTACACTCACTGAAAATGTTTTTTTTTTTTTAAAAACATTAATGTTTCAAGAGATGGTTCTACAATTGAAGTCTCATACATATGGATTATTGTGTTCACTATTCTTTTTGTATTGTTCTTACTATAGGATTGTTAAGAAACCATTGCCAGCAAAAGTAGGTAATTTCTGGTATTTCTGTAATATGTGAACTTATTTATTTAGTACCGTAATAAGTTGATTGAAGAATGTATACTGTACCCCATAGAATTTTTCAATTTTTATCTATTTTGGAAATGATTTCCCATACAATACTGTAAAGTTTTTCGTTTGTTCATTACTTTTGATGGTACATGTATACATGTATTACATGCTGCTTATTATGAATGGTTCTAGTCCAGAGTTTATAAAGTTTTTGTTATTTTATGCCTGAAGAGAAAAGCAGCTTTTCTTTGGTTTTGATGTTGTGAGAAATACATATGAATCAGAATTAATTATAACAACCTTGATGACCTTGAAATTCTTTTTAATCTTGCATTAGCTGTTAAAAGGCTAAAATAAAGTTTTCTGATCAATAAAGTGTCTTGTCTGTGTGCTGTCTCATCTTCTCACATTTTCATCTTCTTTTTCAGAACCACTATTTTAATTTCAAACAAATTTGCCTCAAATTTTTTTGGGGTGAAGTGTATTCAAGCATTTTTTCTAGGGGAGATAATTAAGAAATAGTGAATTAAAAAAAATCTTGTTCTCAAAAGCCACTGTGCCAAAAATTGTGAAACTTGTTAAAGTAAAAGATGAAGATAGGGACAAAGAGACTTAGGTGAGCAATGTGGTGCATGGGAATCAAGGTTTCTTTTGTTAGAAAAAAAATTTAAGATCTAAAATGATAGGAATGAATTAAAACTGCTATACTAAATGCAATTTTTACTTATAAGAAAACATTTTCTTTTCAATTTTTCTGTCCATTATAAAACTACAATGTAGATGCAGAATTTTTTTTTTTATTATAGTTACATAGTTACAAATAGACCTGTTATACAAATCTGTATCAAAGTTTATATTAAAAGTCTCATTAAAATACAGGAAACTTATTAATGTTGTTCTCTCTTTATGAGTGTTAATTAAATGATAAGAGTACATGTATTATAGGGAAATACAGTGTATTTAAAAGGAACACTCCCTTTCTGAGTGGTGTTTATTCAGCATTTCTACATTAGTGAAAAAGTTATTCATCCTTTATAAATTAATTCAATAAGTTAATTGGTTACATTTTAAAATAGACAAGATGTGTTTGTGAAACACTCATGCCCCCTTATGGCGGGTGAAACTTTCTCAAATGCAAATCAAATATGTTGGTACCAAAAGTAAGGTCTTCTCACAAGAAATATACCTGTGAAATATTGAAGCACTAGCATCACATGTTCATATGCATGGTCAAGGTAAAAGTAGGTCAAACTTCAAGGTCAAGGGTCAAAGTTGTTGGTATCTAAAGGAAGATCTTGTCACAAGGATTACATATTTGAAGTAATAACACCCTAGCCCTTACTGTTCAAAAGTAATGGCTAAGGTTAAAGTTTTTTTTTAAAGTAGGTCTAACTCTAAGGTCAAAGGGTCAAAGTTTTTGGTATCCAAAGGAAGGTCTTGTCACACGAATCACATATATAAAGTATGAAAGCCTTAGCCCTAACCGTTCAAAACTTATGACCAAGGTTAAAGTTTTTCTTTTAATTACGTCAAACTAAGGTCAATGTCAAATTTGCTGGTATCCAATGAAAGGTCCTGTCACAAGGATTACATATGTGAAGTATGAAAGCCCTAGCTCCAATTTTTCAAAAGATATGGCCAAGGTTAAAGTGGGGTAAAATTTTGCTAAACTGGATCAGACTCCAAAGTTAATGACAAAAGGTCAAATTTGATGATACCCCCCAAAAAAAGGTCTCGTCAAAAGGAATACAACACATGTGAAATATGATAGCCATAGCCTCAACCAATCAAAAGTTATGGGTAAGATTAAAACTTTCGCAGACAAACAAATTAACAGACAAACAGATAGATGGACAGACAGGGCAGAAACTATATACCGCACAATCTTCTATTACGGGGGCATAAAAAGTAGATGTGTTGGTGTTTGCATGATTCATCTGTATATAAGCCATCAATCCTTATTTTTCAAGGTGACTATCTGGTCCAGTGGTTCTTGAGAAAACTTTTTATGCCCCCATTATCGAAGATTTCAGCGGTATATAGTCTTTGTCCTGTCCGTTTGTTTGACTGTTACCGAAAAAACCTTACCTTGCCCAATTTCGAGTTGTTGGGACTATGGCCTTATTTCAGAGGTGTATTTCTTGTGACAAAACTTTCTTTTGAGTTTCCACAATATTTGACCTCTTGACTTTGACCTTGAGGTTTGACCCACTTTTACACAAAATTACCAAACTAACTTTGGCTATAATCTTTGAACAGCTGATGCTAGGGCTTTCATTCTTCACATGTGTATTTATTGTGACAAGACCTTTCAATACGTGTAAATATTTTTGACCTTGACCATAGAGTTTGACCCACTTTCAAAAAACTTTAACCTTGGTAATAACTTTTGAACAGTTAGAACCAGGGCTTTCATATTTCACATGATTCCTTATGACAAGACCTTCCTTTGGATACCACCAGTTGTGACCTTTTGACCTTGACATTTGGAGTTTGACTTGCATTTGAGAAAGTTTAGAAGCAGACAGACAGACAGATGGATGCCAGACGACAGATGATAACAAAAGATTACTTGAGTTTACAGCTTTGACAAGATAATAATCAATTCCGATCTGATCACATGACCCCTTAAGTCGATCTCATCTGTAACTTTAAAATCACTCTTAGAAACTCATGGTTAATTGTCAGAGCTAATTTTTGTTAACTGTCCCAGTTATAATAATAATAATAATAATAATAATAATAATAATAATAATAATAATAATACTTTATTTAAAGAAGGTAACCTGATTAGTGCAAGCACTATTCTTCCCCAGGGCCTTCTGACAATTAACAATTTAAAGATACATAGTTATACACATACAGACATATTATAAATATATACATAAATATACAAATACAATTAAACAGGAATCACAAATTATTCTGACATTGTTTAACATATTGTTTTACTTGTCTCTTGAAAGCATTAAGAGTTGGTGACATTTTTATGTGCACCGGTAAAGCATTCCATAATATGGCGCCAGAGTACTGGAATGAATTTTCAAAAAGTTTACATTTATGAATTGGCACACACAAATCAACATTGGATTCAGATCGAAGAGTATATTGGTTATTAATTTGAAATTTAATCATTTCATGTAAATAAGTAGGACAATAATTAAAGACGGATTTATATAACAATACATATTTATTTACAGTAAGCTGTTCATAAACAGTAAGCCAATCAAGTTTATCAAAAAGGGGTCTAGAGGGTGCATCAGGGGGAGCATCTAAAATATACCTTGCAGCACGCTTTTGAAGTTTATGAACTCTGTCAAGATTTGATCTGGACGTATTTCCCCAAATTGTTAGGCAGTAATCAATGGTAGGCATAATGTATGCATTATAAAACAATTTACGTGTTTCAAGAGGCAGATATTTTTTAATTCTACGGACTGCAGAAATTTTACGTGACAGAGTTTTACACACATGGTCGATATGTACATTGTATTGTAAAGAATTATCTAAATATACTCCAAGAATTTTTTCATATGTTACTGTAATTGTCTAATTTCTGGTTCGAAACGTATAAAGGAAAATCATGGTCTAAGAATTTTGATCTCTTTTGATGTGTCCCTATTAACATGCATTTAGTTTTTGAGGCATTAAGTTATGATCATTTGATTTTGAGTGCACCATTTTTCTATACAAGCAATATCCATTGATAATGAATTTACTATAGATTGGGAATCTTTGCCGGAAGCATGTAAAGTGGCATCATCGGCAAACAAATCTATGTTTGAATTTTTGATATAAAGTGGAAGATCATTAATGTACATTAAAAACAGAAGAGGACCTAGTATAGACCCCTGTGGAACTCCCGCTGTGACTTGCTGATAAGATGATTCTTTGTTAGACAGATGGACACTTTGAAGTCTGTCACTTAAATACGATCGAAACCAATGTAAAGTTATTTCATCAAAATTATAACATTGTAGCTTTTTAAGAAGAATTTCATGATTTACTAAGTCAAATGCCTTACTGAAGTCAAGAAAGACAGTACCAACAAGTTTGCCTTGGTCCATTTCATATAACCATTTATCTGTAATTTTTGTAAGGGCTGTTTGACATGAATGCAATTCTCTGAAACCTGATTGAGATTCTATTAAAAGATCAAAGTCTGACAATAGTAATCGTACATATTTTGCCACATGTTTTTCTATAATTTTTGATAATGTGGGTAAAATAGAAATGGGCCTGTAGTTATTTGGATCTAGCTTGTTTCCCTTTTTATAAATAGGTGTAACTTTGGCAAGTTTAAAGCTTTTCGGGAAAATACCTGAAGTAACACTAGTATTTATTATATGGGTTACAGGTTTATGTATTATTTGTGCAGTAAGTTTTAATAAACGTGGACCGATGGTATCTACACCTGATGATTTATTAACATCTAGTTTGTTTAGTAAGGAAAGCACTTCGTCAGGGCTTATAAGCGGGATACAAAACATTTCTGATCCCAATTTAGACTGTACAAAATTTAAAAGGCCATCGAAATCACACTCTTCTTTATTTACTCCTTCAAGGAGTTTAGCAGAGACATTTGAGAAATGAGAATTAAATATCTCTGCAATTTCTTGTGTATCCTCTGTTACATTATTATTTTGTTCAAGTGCCGTCGGACTATAATTTTTGGGAGTAGAAGCTAATTTGTTTAATGCATCCCACATCTGACGTGGATTTTTGTTTTGCTCTACAGTTGATTTATAATAATTAATTTTTGCATTTTCAATCAGTGATGTTACTTTATTTCGCCATAATCTGTAGTTTTCAAAGTCCTTATTTTTATGAAAGTTATTGCGCTTGTGCTGTGCTTCAAGAATTTCTTGGGTTAACCATTTTGGTCTTGCATCATACTTCACTCTTTTAGATTTTATTTTTGCATGTTTGTCTAGTACAGCATTAAAAAGTGAATAAAATTTATTTAGGATTAGAGAGTGAATCTAAGGATTGAAAATTAACTTTTTCCAGGTCTGAGAGAAAGTTTATTTCATTAAACTTTTTGAAGTCTCTGTATGTTATCTCCGTGTGCTTATACTTCTTAACATAATCATGTAGTTTTCTTGTAAAACAAATAGGATAGTGGTCAGAAATTGCAATTGGCGGTACTACAGATTCACATATGTTCTCAGTGTTGAGATAGACTGAGCATAAGTAAGAAACATAAAATATCTTTTAAAGTTCATAACAATAAATATCATTTTTTTACAATAATTTATTCAGAACTGTATCTGATAGCACAACAGTATAAAACTCTTTGTCCAACAGGCTCAATCAACAGTTATTTCCCTTTGTAAATTAAATACTCATTTCACTAGCACAAAAAAAAAAAAAAAATCGAAACAATGCATAACTCATGACAAGAAAATAATCAATAACATTCAATTTTTTATCATAGCTTCACAGGGACTATTATTCTTTTAGGAGACATTCTTTAGCAGGGATATATGCACATGACATATGATACATGACTGCAGTTTCCACTATGTTGTTTTCCCTATACAAACTTATACATGTACACATATCAATTATTTGAGGTATAAAGAATGACTGCATATGTAAAATATACTTTCACATTTAACAACATATTTTTAAAAATTACAATTATTAACTTTGCTGTATACGCTGTAATAATTTATTGCAATCTACTTTGCTGTATTAATGAAATAGAATAAAACAGCATGTTTGACCTAAAAAAAAAAAAAACACTTAAAAAAAACTGATCTGTGAAAAGAGCACAAAACATGTACTCTTGGAAATTTCAGACGATTCATAAAGAAAAAAAAAAGGGGGTTAAAGTAATAAACAACCATATAAATACTGGCATTCCTGTGATTTATTTCTACAATAAAATAAAACTTTACCTACATCACAATTAAATTTGAGCCAAAAAATTAAATACAAGCACCTAAAATAATCATGCTCATACATAACAAATCAATGAAAAGAATGTTTCCATTTATAACATTGCATATCTAGTAATTTATATGCATCCTATAGGTAATTACTTTCGTAAGTATCAGTTCACAATCTAACAAATTACATTCTCTAGTCATTATGAACAATTGACCGAGAAAAAAGTCATTGAGATATTTGTATATAATCAACTCTAATTGATAACACTTTCATATTAGAACCTAGAAGATCACCATTAAACTCCTGAATTAACATATGTCCTATATTATGCTTTGAAATATGAAAAATGGATATCTCCACACGAATCTTGACCCAACTTGACCCCCTATGCTTCCTTTCAACTTCCATTTTTCAAGGAGAAAAATTAAAATTAGGCAATAAATAAATAAATAGTTTCAGTAGCAATTTCCAGAATAGATAAAGCAGGTATTTCTTTCCCTTTTTGATTCGAACTCAGCAAAGAAAGCAAAGTGACAATTTTGAGGAATACAGAATGTTCATGACCTTTACTGGTATATGGAAATAATACATGTATTACATTTATCTGTTATGTTCAAACTATTAAAAGATCAGAGAATGCCTTCTTTCTGTAGAAAAAAAAAACAACTTACATTGGGAATATGATTCACACGCTACTAAAGAGGGTAAAGGTCAAAGCTTTATGTCAGAGGTCAAATGGGACCATTGGGACAGTGCTTTATAACCACCTTGTTTGATTGCAAGAAAAAAGAAATCTGGATTTATGATATGGCACTGGCAATAAGATCTAAATAACTTGTAGAAAAGAAAGCAATCTGAAGTAAAACAGCATATTAAAGTATTATCACAGACCACTTGTGTGTATACTTTGCTATGTTGCAAACATATCATTCAGTCTATTGGATAATATTGGTAAATTCTTCTCAAATCATCTTACGTGACTATATACGATATGTCATTATGTGTGTCACTTAAAATACAACAAAAACAAATTACATCTAACTGCAAGGATAAATATCAAAATTGTAGCTAACAACAATTAAATGCATATTATATATTTCTTTCATCATTGTGACAAAAGAATAACAAAAGATGAAATGTCAGGAATGTGAAGAACGTACGTCAAAGCTTCCTCCTATGAAAATATTTTTGCAAAATAAGAAAAACAAATTGATTATTTAAATATCAATACACTAATAATCCTAAAAAGTACATTTCACATGGGTGTTAATTTAGCAGTTTCTCTTAATTTTCACTGTAAACCAACTAATATTAACAGTTCAACGAACACAACAATTTACTTTCATAACTGAGGAAAGCCAAAACAAAACTATTAACAGACACACAAATAAAAGTTGATTTACAGTGCAATTCTTCCAAACACTTCCATATTTACAATCAACAACATCCTTATAACATGTATAATGTAACGCTTAATTTATCGAGAAACACATCTACTTATTACTCATTTAGTAACATATTACCCCGTACTATTAAAGCATACTTTCTCAACATAGAAGCACTAATTCATCATGTTTTGTGTCCCGGTTTGTCCGCTAAGCTCACTAGGTAACCTTTGACCTCTGTCTCATACTCAAGGTCGTCTGGCTTTTCTGTTAAGACCCAGGTCTCATCGATGCTTTCCACTCGTTCACGGCAAATGGGGCAAGTTTTGCTAGTCACATTCCTGCAAAAATTGGAATTATCGTTTTTTGCTCTGTTTGGTTGAAGAATTATTTCTCAAGGTCAGACAGCTTGACATTAAAATGTTTGCATAAAAAAATTCTCTTATTTTTTGCACATTCAGTTGTTTTTCTGTTTTTAATTTCAGAAAATTAAACATTGGAATACATGTATATACATATATATAGTTCTAATTAACACATTTAGAAATGAATTACATAAACCTGTAAATCAATATTTTCATAAAGTTAAAAGTTTTTTCAAAAAGTGAAGTTCTAAAAAGAAAACTACATGTACCTTGATTATAACCCACTGAATATCAAATATTTTATACAGAATTTTTTTAATTTATATACTGTAGACGTACTTTTTTCCACGGGGTCATAATTCCGCGGAATCCCAATTTTTGTGTAATCCGCGGGTAAAAAATTACGCGGATTTTCTACATTGTCAATATATGCTTTACATTTATATTAAGTACGCTTGGACAAATTTCCGCGGAAAATTTGTGCATAGCGTAAATTAATACTACGCGGAAAAAAGTACTTCTACAGTATTTGAATATTTATTTATATCAGCAATAATACAAAATCATTATAACTTTATGTAAGTTGTCAGTATTTACCATGTGTCTATACAGCCCTCACAGAACTGGTGAGCACAAGGCAGTATGATCTCGGACCTGTTCTCCATACATATACAGCATTCATTGTCATCATCCTCTTGTCCTACACTGAACACAGAACACAAATCTTAAATACAGTGGAACTGCATTACCTTACACAAATATCTCAAATGCAATCGAAATCTCAAATTAAGTTAGCTTGAAGATCTTTAGGTATTTTAATCTCAGTATCTTGTATACTCAGACACATGCATCTCAAAGTCTCAGTTTTTCCCTTGGTTATACCCATTTTGAGACAATGTGGTTTTACAATCTACACCTGTACCTATACAAGAATGCAGATGGATATATCATTTACCTCAATGAATTATGACTTTCAAAAAGACATAGAATACAACTTTGCATTGATCATTATCTTTTTTGACATTTTTTAATATGTTCAATTTGTGCACTTTTATATCTTGAGAAATAGTTTTCATAATCTTATCAATGTAACAGAACTTTTTGTCCCCTGCTGAAAGTGGGGGAATATTTATTTTAGCCAGTCTGTCTATCCGTCTATCTGTCTATCTGTAACACTTTTGTTTCTGTGTGATATCTTGAGAAACCTTTTTGGCTTTTGCAGTGAAATTTTATACAACTCCCTAAGGCCTAGGAAAGATCTCTTTTGAATTTGAGGTCAAAAGGTCAAAGGTCAAGGTAATAAATTAAAAATTTTCTGTTTTAATACTTTCATTTTTCGCATAATATCTTGAGAAGCCTTTGAGCTTTTACAGTGAAATTTTATACAACCACTCCCTATGGCCTAAGAAAGATCTCCAGTGATTTTGAGGTAAAAATGTCAAAGGTCAAGGTCATAAATTCAAAAATTCTGTCTGTTTTAAAGTTTTCAGTTCAGTGCAATTTCCTAGGCCTTTGAGCTTTTGAAATGACATTTAACACCACAACTCCTTATAGAGTATGGAAGACCACTTCTTATTTAGAGGTCAAAATTGAGGTAAAAAGTTCAAGGGTTAAGGTTGTAAATCAGTAACTGTACATTCTGTGTCTGTGTAAATCTTTCATTTCCTGGTGATATCTCGAGAAGCTTTTGAGTTTTGCAGGGGGGAGAGGGGCACAGATTCTCTGCATTATCTCGTCATTTTTTTCTCCCTTTTTATTGGTGTAAAATTATTTATTTATATGTGTACGTATCATTTTTACTTTTAATTTCCAAAATCACAAATTTATATATCTCTTTCCAAATGGTGATAATGACTTTATAAAGTTCCTACCCTTCAAATATGGCACTAGCACAGATGCTATTAGGTAAACTGCTGAGTTGCCCTTTCTCGTGCTCCATAGCGTTCAGATTGGACACCTGGTCAGAGATTTCGCGATACAGAATGACATACTGCTTTAGATTGAGTCGTCTCTGAGACTCCACTCTGTTCAGATGAGTATTTATCTGAAATAAAAAAAGGAATGGAACTAATCGATGTGTATGTTTACAATACGTGAGGATTGTTCAGAAAATTCAACAAAATTAATATACATGTTCAAAATTAGAGAATTGGAGGAAATTGAACAAAATTTTAATACAAGTTAGAATATGATGAATTTCTAGTAATAAGAATAATACACAACGATAATATAATGATACTTGGTATAAATTGCATTTATAATTTGGGCAACACAATTTATGCAATGCTAGTGTTAATAAGATAATGTCAGAACAACAGCATTTTATTTATCAACTTAAATACCATAGGACTTATTTACTGTAAGTTGTTTTTAACTGGTATAATTAATCAATAATAAATTTACATAAACCATGCAATATCTAAAATAATAAACTATTAAATGATTTAGCCAGGAAGGACAACTCTTTTAATTTTTAATTTAATTCAAAAAGTCTCAAAATGAAGCTTGAAAAGTAAATTTTTCATGCAACAATTTTCATTATATACCTCTCAATGTGCTTCAGGGTTCTTTGAAGTTCTCAGAAAGGTCTAATAGAAAGTCAAAAATTTTACCCAGTAAAAGCATTTTAAAATTACATATATCAAGAAATTGATGTTCATTTTAATCTAACCGTAGATACTAATGTTTATTAACATGATATGAAATTAGAGTACATTATATGTATAAAAATTGTGGAATTTCTTCAAAAGTCTTGATACCTATGATTTTTATTTTTAAAATGTGTTAATCGATCAAACATGAATTGGAAAATGCATAGCAGGTGTTTTTAATTGCAATCCCTGAAAATATATTTGAGATTTACTAATTTTCTCTATATGATATGATAAACTTGAAAGATAAAGTTTGAAGAATTATGGTGGGTAAAAACACGTTACTTTGAAAATTCAGAAACATTTTTGTGAGCATTTTCAATTAGTCAATGCTTGATTTTCAGAACATGAGGATCGGAGTACCTTAAATCAGTATTTTTTGTACAATAACATCTGTCTTGATGCATAACGTCATTGTGCTGTATATGACATGAAACTATATCTTCAAGTATAGTCTCGCTGAACTTTTTTTTCAGTGTATTCCCAGTGGGAAAAAAAAACTTTTATTTCCTTTAAGTTCTAGATATGTGTAAGCTTTAAGAAAATTAACTCAGTTTTCAGTTTTTAGTGAATTGCAAGCCTGGCTATTTTAGTAAAAAAAAAATCTGACAGCAATATACTTTTCATGAATTTTGATGTGATTTAAATGTTAATAAGTGAATTTCTTTGCATTCGAGCATCCCCTGTCGACCAGTCACCCCCACTGTGGGCCCTACATATTGATCGGGTACAGAGACATTCTGTAGCAAATTTTGTAGCTAACTGAATTACTAATTAACTAATTACGGTGATGAATTTATCTTACTTTCTGGCAGATGACTCTGACCGTAGGTTTCCAAAATATGGAGGCATCTGTACCACACTGTACTGAGAACAGGAGCTGTTTTCCTCTTCGGTCACAGAAAGTGGACGTTCTGAAATATTTGAATACATGTACATATATTAATCTCTTAATCGTTATATTATTTTAAACTTAATTTTTTTATTTAATAGTTCATTCACTAAAATAGGACAATCTCGAAAATACAAAATTTGAATAAATTTTCACTGATGACAGACATTAAAGTAAAATCAAGTAAAATCACACAATTTTTTGCTTTCAAATACCACTGACTGTCAGAAATGAATCAGTAAGATGCTTCTTATTATCTTAAACAAACCAAACCCTTACAATGAATTCAGCTCCTGAATGGAACGGAGGAAATCGGAGTACGAGAGATTGGCCAGACACTTCAGAATGGTGAGATGTGATCGCAGTTTGCTGTGGACAATTCCGATTGTCTGTTCTGGATTAGGAAGACTGTTACCCTGCCCCATTCTGCAGTAACTAAAACAAATTATGAAATAATGATCAGACTTAATAAAACAGGTAAACAACAAATACAAGACTCCTGGCATGTACAACCTTTCAATATATCAGAATAAAAATATTTTTCTATTGCAAAAATGTCAGATGCAGATGCAGATAACATTAAGTCCTATTATATAAACTTCAACTAGCATTATGATCCCTTCAGCAAACAAATAACCCAGATGAAAAGCTGTTGATTTAGCTCTTACAATAATTGCAATTGTTCCATATTTTCCAATCAAATAAAAAATATATTTAGAATTAAAACAAAATAACAAATTAACAATTAAGAGCAGAAAAGTATGACAATGCACTGTGAGTTCAATTATGACTATATGAAAATTGACTTCTAAAATTTCTTTATACATCATAATGGATTTGATCAGAAAAGTTTTGACTTTTACAAAAATAGGAGGTACATTGGGGAAGTGAATTTTTCCCTATCAAATATTTTGAGCAATATATACAATCATAACTTCACCATGTTCACCAGGTAAACTAAAAGAACCAAATACTGAAAGATCCTGTGAATCCCAACTCACTGAGTTTATAGATGACATAACTATCCACATGACTGCCGGAAAGCAGACAGATGTATTGATCATGGATTTTTCCAAGGCTTTTGACAAGGTTAGCCATAGCCTCCTCATCCATAAGCTCCGACATTATGGGATCCAGGGGAACGTGAACAACTGGATTGCTAGCTTCCTGTCCAACAGAACACAAGCAGTAGTTGTCGATGAAGAAATGTCCAGCTATGTCAGTGTTGACTCTGGAGTGCCCCAAGGGTCAGTCCTTGGGCCATGCCTATTCCTGTTCTATATAAACGACATGCCAGAAGGCCTCAATGCCACAGTAAAACTTTTTGCTGATGACACTATTGTATATCTAACTGTCATGTCAAAACTGGATACCCAGACACTCCAGGCAGACCTAGATAAACTGGGCATTTGGGAAAGGAGGTGGAAAATGGAATTCCATCCTGATAAGTGTAATGTATTATCAGTCAGCAGGAAGCCTAACCCAATACATCACCAATACTCGCTACATGGCCATATTCTTGAACATGTAAAGAGAGTGAAATACCTTGGCTGTCTTATAACATCAGACTTGAAATGGAGTGACCATATTAGTAACATCTGCTGCAAAGGAAACAAGACCCTTGGATTTCTCCACCAAAACTTAAACATCAGCTCAACATCCATAAAGGAGAGTGCAAACAAATCACTAGTTAGACCCCAGTTGGAGTATGCAGCACCTGTTTGGGTCCCCTACACCCAAAAAGACATCCATAACCTGGAAATGGTCCAACAACGTGCTGCACGTTATGTAAGCAACAGGCATGGTAACAGATCAAGTGTGGACAGCATGATACAACATCTACAATGGCAGACACTAGAAGAGCATAGGTGAATCTCCAGACTTGTCCTATTTTACAAAATTGTTCATGACAAAGTTTCCGTTACCAAGCATGACCGACTTATTCCACCACTACGTCGATCAAGACATGTATACTCACCAAGAAGCCTATCAATTACCATCTTGTAAAAGTGACTATATAGAAAATTCTCATATTTCCCTCGTACCATCAAAGAGTGGAACCACCTACCACCAGAGATAGTCACGGCAAAAACACTTGAGACCTTTAGGTCTCAGGTGACCACCTACTAGTATTTGCCATAAATTATAATTACTATTTTAACCTTTTAAATTTTTATTTTTGGAAACTCCATGCACACCACACACATGCCATAATAATCAGCTAGCTGATTGTGGGCATCACATGGCAGAAGCAGAAGACCGAGAAAGGCTTGGTTGCTGTACTTGTAAAATTAACTTGTTTCTATGGAATGAAAGTTGAATAAAAAAAGATAGATTTTTGTAAACAACATTTCAAGTTGTGCAAGATTATCATTATTATCATTTAATACTGCCTGCTTTGCAAGTTCTAACAAAGTGGGTGAAGAGAAAATTGGGACTTTTAATATGTATGTCATTGACCTAAATGAAATATTTTTCTGCATGCAGTTACCTGAAGACCCACAATTAAACAAAAATGCATCTCACTGCTAACTTTGTTTTCATGATAATTAACAACAATTAAAAGTTTAGAACTTTGTTTATTGAAATGAACTAACATTCCAAGTCATGTGACATCAAAGACAAGAATTTCCTTTGATTTCAATGAATATCATGCTTTTTTATTTAAATTCTAATTTACCATGTTTACACTTGAACATTCAGTATAGATGAAGGCATTAATTATAGCATTATGCAAATTTCCATTACAGTGTATTGAATTTGATTCATGTTTAAAGCCAGATGTTATATGGCATTTACAATTTTTCATCATAACAATACACTTAGCAGTTGTGTTACTGAATACCCATATGCAGGGTCAAAAATGTCCAACTAATCAGTAATATTCAGCAATAATCAGTAGTGCCCCTAACACTGTGACATAAACCCCTGACCCTAGGTCCACACATTGCACAATTTTTTAAAAGGCACCCATAAAATTGCCTATCAAAAAATAAATAAATGCTTAATAAATTTTATACAAAGGAGCAGATTTCAAACAATTAATTCATTTTCAGTATATAAGCTGACCCTGGGGCCTTGAAATTCACAATTCTGCATGACCCTTGCTCATCATAACTATATAGGTAGTTCACCTGCTTCATACCCAGAGACAGAGAAGAAAATTTTCAAAGATTTAATGTATTTTCACTATATAATCAATAGAAACACCTGACCCTGGGGCCATAAAATTCATAATTTTAGAAGAGGCATTCTTGCTCAGATTTTCAAAGAATTCATGTATTTTCACTATATAATCAATAGCCCCCATTACCAGAACCCCTACCCTACATGGGGCCATAAAATTCACAATTTTGGTTGAAGCACTCTTCATGCTCATCATAACTATGTACTTAGTTAGTTTATCTAATACCTAGGAGCAGAGAAGAAGATTTTCAAAGAATTCATGTATTTTCACTATATAATCTACTACCAGAACCCCTGACCCTACATGGGGCCATAAAATTCACAATTTTGGTTGAGGCACTCTTGCTCATCATAACTATTAAATTAGTTAGTTTAATTTATACCTACGAGCAGATTAGAAGATTTTCAAAGAATTCATGTATTTTCACTATATAATCAATAGGCCCCCCTCCCCCAATACCAGAACCCCTGACCCTACATGGGGCCATAAAATTCACAATTTTGGTTGAGGCACTCTTGCTCATCATAACTATGTACTTAGTTAGTTTATCTAATACCTAGGAGCAGAGAAGAAGATTTTAAAGAATTCATGTATTTTCACTATATATAATATTGCTCATCATAACTATGTACTTAGTTGGTTTATTTAATTCCTAGGAGCAGAGAAGAAGATTTTCAAAGAATTCATGTATTTTCACTATATAATCAATAGAGCCCCCCCCCTCCCCCAATACCAGAACCCCTATTTTGGGGCCATAAAATATCACAATTTTGGTTGAGTCTTGCTCATCATAACTATGTACTTAGTTAGTTTATCTAATACAAATTCATTTTAAAGAATTCATGTATTTTCACTATATAATCAATAGCCCCCCCGCCCCTCCCCCCAATACCAGAACCCCTGACCCTACATGGGGCCATAAAATTCACAATTTTGGTTAGGCATTTGCCCAATATTCAAGTTTATCTAATACCTAGGATAGAGAAGAAGATTTTCAAAGAATTCATGTATTTTCACTATATAATCAATAGACCCCCCCCTCCCCCAATACCAGAACCCCTGACCCTACATGGGGCCATAAAATTCACAATTTTGGTTGAGGCACTCTTGCTCATCATAACTATGTACTTAGTTAGTTTATCTAATACCTAGGATTTTCAAAGAATTCATGTATTTTCATATATAATCAATAGAGACAATACCAGAACCCCTGACCCTACATTTTCACAATTTTGGTTGAGGCACTCATCATAACTATGTACTTAGTTGGTTTATTTAATTCCTAGGAGCAGAGAAGAAGATTTTCAAAGAATTCATGTATTTTCACTATATAATCAATAGAGCCCCCCCCCCTCCCCCAATACCAGAACCCCTGACCCTACATGGGGCCATAAAATTCACAATTTTGGTTGATATTTGTTATCATAACTATGTACTTAGTTAGTTTATCTAATACCTATGCTTTAAAAAATTCATGTATTTTCACTATATAATCAATAGAGCCCCCCCCCCTAATAAAATTCACAATTTTGGTTGACTTTCATCATAACTATGTACTTAGTTGGTTTATTTAATTCCTAGGAGCAGAGAAGAAGATTTTCAATGGAACCCCTGACCCTACATGGGGCCATAAAATTCACAATTTTGGTTGAGGCACTCTTGCTCATCATAACTATGTACTTAGTTATCTAATACCTAGGAGCACATTCATGTATTTTCACTATATAATTTCACTTAAATTAACCCTACAATGGGGCCATAAAATCACAATTTTGTGACCTTGATCATAACTATGTACTTAGTTAGTTTATCTAATACACAGAGAAGAAGATTTTCAAAGAATTCATGTATTTTCACTATATAATCATGCATAAACCAGAACCCCTGAACATGGGGCCATAAAATTCACAATTTTGGTTGAGGCACACTTGCTCATTATAACTATGTACTTAGTTAGTTTATCTAATACCTAGGAGCAGAGAAGAAGATTTTCAAAGAATTCATGTATTTTCACTATATAATCAATGGCTAATACCAGAACCCCTGACCCTACATGGGGCCATAAAATTCACAATTTTGGTTGAGGCACTCTTGCTCATCATAACTATGTACTTAGTTGGTTTATTTAATTCCTAGGAGCAGAGAAGAAGATTTTCAAAGAATTCATGTATTTTCACTATATAATCAATAGAGCCCCCCCCCCCCTCCCCCAATACCAGAACCCCTGACCCGACATGGGGCCATAAAA